GAAATGATGAAAAAAAAATTAAAAATGTGTGGGTGCGTTTGTCATATTTTTCTCCCGTTGATTATGATGATGATGTTTAGCATCCCTTTTTTTTTTTTTTTTTTTTTGATAATGTTTTTTCTTTCATATAAAGCTTTCCCGGTTTTTCTATGTGTGTGTGTGTGTTCCTCGTTGTTGTTGTTTTTTGATTGACTTTCTCCTGGTGAATGTGTGTGTGTCTGGAACAGTGAAAAAAATAAACCTAAATGTTTTGTATGAGAAAAAAAAAATAAATTATTATAAGGACAAAATTCTATTGAAATTCAATACTAAAATGTCCTTATAGTTATTATTATTTTTGATATAATTTTCCATTAAATAAGAATGTTTAAAGGTGACACCGAAAAAACAACAACAACAACAAAGCAGGTGTTCGAGCATGTTTTGTATATTAGTTAGGTGGGTGGTTGGATAGCAATACGATTATGATTCCACAACAATAAATCTTCTTTTTTTTCACCGATAGATTCTGATGATGATGGTATGAAAATTGATGAGAATTTTGGGTAAGAGACAAAAAAGAAAAACAGATACAATGTTGTGTTTTAAGGGAAAAACGAAACAAAATGTTATTTAAAAATTGATCCAAAAAAAAAAAAAAAGAAACATCATTCATTTTTCGTTACTTTGCTGGTGTTTCATTATATTTCCAATTGAGACTTTTAGTTTATTTATTTATTTTTTGTTTTTTTTCAATTTCCGTTTGACAGTGTTTTTTTTGCTGGTGATTTTCCAATAAAAAAATTCCATGGATAAATATTAACCGGAATTTCTTATTGATTATTGGTGAAACACATAAACAATTCTACCAAGGCTGATTTTAATTGAAAATTTTCCTTTTTCTTTATATTTTTGTTTTTTTTTTGTTTAATGAATTCTTCTTAAATTGATTCTTTTCCTTTTTCACCAAACACACACACTTTATTATTATTATTATTAATCGATTGGATTCTTTGGTAACGAAGAAATGAAAAATATTTACGGAAATTAATTTCAATCAGAATTTCTTCTCTCTCTCTCTCTCTCTCTCTCTCTCTCTCTCTCTCTCTCACCAAAAATGACATAATCTTTAATGTATGTTATTAATGATGATGATNATATATACATAAATAAATTTCTATCAGAATTTTTTCTCTCTCTCTCTCTCTCTCTCTCTCTCTCTCTCTCTCTCTCTCACCAAAAATGACATAATCTTTAATGTATGTTATTAATGATGATGATAATGGGGTGATAGAGGGAAAGTAACAGAAAGAAAAATTGATTCTTTCTCTCGAATACCTTACCAACACTGTGTTTGTTTGTACATTTCTCTCTCTGTGTGTGTGTGTCATCATAGATTAATTAGGGCTTAATTTTTTTTTTGGCTGAATTTTGACTGACTGAATGAATCAATAAGCTTATTTTTTTTCCATAAACGAAACAGAAACAAATAAATGTTGGTGAATGGATCATATAGTTTGCGGTTTTCTCTTGTATACACTTTCTGTTGTTTTCTGTTTTTCAATCAACATCCTAACACATCAGAAATGGATGATAATATTATTAATAATAATAATAATTTTTCTTGACTGTCAAACATCATAAGAATTGTGTAATAATAATGATGATGGTGAGAATATTCTTTGAACTAGTTTTTTTCTCTCTCTTTCTCTCTTTCAAAGATGGAAAGAAAATTATTATGTCGTTTTCCTAATTAGACTTGACATATTTTCGAAAAAAAAATTTCTTTTTTTCTCATTCGAAATTCTTCGAGAATCATCATCATCAATGATAAGTCGTATCCGTTTTATACCCTAAACACATCACTAAAGAGCCAATATTATTAAATCCCTCAAGTTTTCTTCTTTTGGGGGAAACACTGTTGTTGTTATTCACTAAAGCAACAAACAAAAAAAAAGTGCAACCAACCGATCCAAGTGAGACTGTTTTTTTTGTTTTTCCCGTTGATGTAGTATGATAATGATATATGAGACTTGAAGCTTGAGAAAGAGACAAGTATCCAGCACACACACACTTTAAGAAGCAATTCAATTGGATCGATCCAGAAACAAGAGAGAGAGAGAGAGAGAGAGAGAGAGATTGTACCATTCAAAATTTATATGTGAAAATCATTCATTTTCTCACATCAAAATAGGGTTTATATTTCTATTTCTATTTTTCTCTCTCAAAGTTTTTCTTTGACTTTGATCTATATTTGTTTTGTTTTTTTTATTTACTCTGATGGGAATATTATCATTTTTATTTTTTTCTGCGCTTGATAAAATGAAAAATTACCTTAATTAATCAATAATAAATAATTTAATGATGATGGTGATCATCATCATCATAATAAAATATGATTCATGTGTTTTTTTTTGGGGTTTTTTGTTTGTTTAGTCGTTTGGTTAGCCTAGATTTCAATTGTTTTCAAAAATTGCCGCATATAATGAATCAGAGAAAAGAAAATCCAAAGAATCAAAGAATCAAATGCCGATTCTGTCTTTTTCTCTGTGTGTGTAAATAATAAATTTTCCCTTCATTTGTAATTTGACAAATCGATTATCAAACTATATTCGAAACGCCTATATCATACGTTTTTTTTTTTTTTTTTTTTTTGGTTAAAGTTTCACATATTGAATATGACATTTGTATTTTCTCTCATTCTTTATTTGGCTTGAAAAACACACACACACAAGGGAAAATTTTGGTTTTCAATCGAACGATCGATCTATCGATCGATCGATTGATGATCATCATAATTGAGCCATTTGAAAAAAAATCTTGATCATTTTGGTTGTCATTTTTTTCGTTATCAATTATTATTGTATTGACATTGTAATCAAGAAAAATTGAACGAAAAGAAGAAACCAAAATAAAAAAATCAATAGTCATTATTCATATGCATTTCATAATCAATAATCGATATTGACTGTAGGATTTTATTCATTCAATTCAATTCAATTCTTAACTCTTTCAATATTTATAATTTTGTTTTGTTTTGTAATTGATGATTCTTTATTTGACTAATAATCAATATTTTTTTTATATCTGATTTATTGACTTTTTTTCCTGCACTTTTTCCTGGCAATCTTTCCGGAATACTTTTTTTCCCCTGGCCACACTCAAAATATTCAACAAAAAAAAAGGACAATGTGATTTAAGCCATGCACGTTATCATCATACAACCGTTATGGGTAAGGGTTAAAAAAAAATTTCTTTGTTAATTCAATGTCTTCAGTAAAAAACCAAACCAAAACACTAACCAAAACACACATTCGCTTATTTATAAAGGAATCAACTCAATTCTGTTCAAGGTAGTTTTTAGGAATCACTGTTTAACCCCCGAAAAAATGGCAAACAAAAAACAAAAAACAAACAAAATACAGTAGTCAGTTTGTATCTTTGTGGGTAAAACCATTCGTTTGTTTTGATTTTTTTTTGTTTTGTTTGTCCATATGATTATTGTTCAACAACAAACAAACAAACAAACAAAAAGTAAATGGATAGGTTGACAATTCAGTGAAACAAAAAAAAAATTGCTTACTTCATATCCGTTGCAAGAATAAAAAACCTTTTTGGAAAATCTTTATGGCAAGCTTACAATGTTTTTTGGTCAAAGATGATTATCTAAGAAAACCAAAAAAACCAAAAACGAAAACATAAACAAAAATAACAAAAAAACATAAAAGATGCAATGACAATCAACCAAAACAAAACAAAACAAAAAAAGTCCATTATTACATGAAAATCTCATTTTCTGTCCATTTCTTTTCTTTTTTTTCATGTTGTTATTATTAGACCATTTCTATCATCATCATCATCTTCAGTCAGTCAGTCAGTCAGTGTATATTCTTGGATTTGAAGATTTTGTCGTATAAAGTAATCAGTCGGTTATATAACCTTGTGTGTCTCTGTGTGTTTGTTTATATTATGTTCATGTTTGTCTGTTGTCATCTTTTCTTGTTGTTCTTGAAACATTTCGTTGTGTGTGTGTGTGTGTGTATGTGTTTCAAGATCTTTTTCTTGTTTTGTTGAACACTGAACACATTCTGTTGTTGATGATGATGTTCATGAATTATTTACCTTGATACCTTTACCAAAAAAAAAAAATCGTGTTATATATTTGTGTGTATGTATTCTGTGTGTATTCTGTTGCTTATTCTGTGTTTGTTTTTTTTGATCGTTCTTTTTTTTCCTGTTCAAAAAAAATAATTGTTGTATAAACCAAACCAAACAACAAATGTATCTAAATATATATTGATGCTGTTTGGGTTTTTCATACATTTATTTTCCAATCCAATGACCGGATAAATAAACGCAACGCTCGTCGCTGGATAACAACCCAAAAATAATGAATAAATAATTTTTTGTTTTTTTTTCTGCACACAGGAAAATATCCAGTAATAAAACTATGCTGTTCACCACGAGAAATGTCATCGGTTAGTATTGCTGTTTGTTTGTTTTCTTGATCTCATTATTATTCTCATTTTGGTTTTTTGTTTTTTCGTTTTTTTTGCACACAGATTTCATTAATCTATATGGATAATGATTATAATATTTATCAGAAAAATTTACCAAATATGGTTGTTGAATCATGTGATTGTGCCTGAACGGATCGAATATTTCCATCTGAAGACAACAACAACAATCGGCAATAGACAATGATCAATGGAAAAAAAAACATCTTATATTATGATATAACCCACCAGAATTTTAATTTTTTTTAAACTTTTTTTTAAAAAAGAAAATCTGTTATGATTTATCACTTGAGTTTATCACTATATTTATTTACCATTAAAACAAAAAACAAAAATTCTTTGAATATTAAAATCGAATCCACATTTCGTATTTATCATTTTAAGCATTCTCAATATTCTCAACAACAACAACATCATTTATATTCAAATATACGATATTCGATAGGTATTATATTGAAAATGATAATCATCATCATCATCATCGATGGTTCATTGCATTGTTAATTTATATTCCTCCCAAAAAAATATCGATTTACCTTCGTGATATAATATCTTGATCAGAAGAAAAAAAAATATATTCCTCCTCTTCTGGAATAAAAATGTTGGTTACTTATTTTTGAAAATCCAATTTTTTTTTTTTTTTTTTGAAAAATTCTAATGAAATTCAGTTTTTTTTTTTTTTTTTTTTGGAAATTCAGTTTCAATGTGAATCGATTTTCATCATAAATATTTTGGCTACCTTGTTACAAATCGATATATATGTAGTGAGTGATGATGAGATTCATTTCATTTTTATTGAATGATTCATATCATCATTGAATTGAATTGAATTGAATTGAAAAAAATGGAAATCATCTAATATAATATTTTTTTCTGAAATGATCATCAATTCTTTTTTCCAAAAAAAAAAATTTCGATTTTTTCTTTTTGGAAAAATAAAAGATATATCTGATGATTGCAAAAATTCTGATCATCAGATATCATTTGCATATGAATATCACTTTGGTGTGTTGGAAGAAAATGCACCAGGTTTATTCATTCTATTTCATCTCCTATATTAAACTTATTTGCATTAAATTGTATCAAGAAAGAAGAATCTTCTTTTTTTTCATTCCAAATTCTTGATGATGATGATGATGATGATGAGTCGAGGAAAAAAAAATAATGAAAAATATAACATCATTATTTTTTCCAACGAATTCTCTGTGTGTGTGTGTAAAAATGAAAACTTTAAGTTTTTTTTTTCTGAATTTTCATTTTCTCTTCTTCTTCTTGTGAATAATAAAAGTTAATTCTAGCTGAATTTTTGTTGTTGATGTTGAAGTGAAAAAGAATAAGAAGAGAAAGTGGAAAAAATCAAAGTTTTTTTTTTTTTTTTTTTAAAAAAGAAGAAGATATTTGATGAAAATCAAAAAAACTTTTACATCATCATCAAGAGTAACAAACTTTGTGAACAACCCTGTTAAAAAATGATTGAAGGTGTGAATGTGATGACTATGTATATACTTCCCCATGCAACACAATGATGACAGATTTTTTTTTTTTTTGATTCAAAATCTGATTGTCAACTGGAACTTCTGTTTGTTTGTTTGTTGAAATTCATTCCATTCATTCATTTTGTTTTTTTTTCGCTGAGTTAGCCATAGAATTTACGATTCAATGAATTTTTTTTCCAAAAGAATTTTTTCAATGATTTTCTTTTTCCATCGAGATTTACGAATCAAGTTTTGTTTTGTTTCGTTTTTCTGGTTTTCATCATTCGATTGACAGATTTTTTTTTCTCCATAATCATTATGGGGCGGAAAATTTTGCAATTCTCTCCCCCTTCTTCCCCCTGAGACGAAAAAAAATACAGAAACCAGAATACCAAAATGAATGAATGAATGAAAAGCAAATCTGCGACCATATAATAATTTTTTCATTATTTTTGGATTTTATTTTTCATTTCTCGTATTGACTTTTTGGATTTTGGTTGAATTTTTGCTGTTGAAAAGCTTTAATGTTCGTTTAAAAAAAATTTTCAAAGCAAAAATCATTGATTTGCACACTTAGCTTTTTCGTGCTTTGAATATATTTTTTGCGTTTTGTAAAAAATGAATGAATGAATGATGATTATGCAAACAACGTGTATTCCATTAAATGTAGTTTCTAACCATTTTTCATAATAATGGTTAAATGTTTTTAACACAGCAAATACTTTTTAAGGTTTCCAAAAGTCCGAAGAAAATGAAAAGGTCAATTTTTTCACAAAAAACAAACAAACAAATGATAAATGAATATGATGATCGTCGACGATTGGAAAAGAAATGGTTTCTGGTTTCAGTTGATCATCATGTGGCACCATAAGTATGGGCGTCATTATAGTCATCGTCGTCGCCGTTATTCTTTGTTGCAGCATCTGGTAGTGGGTGTATTTTATTCAAGAAAATAATGGTCGTTTTCGGTATGATTCAAGTGTTACAGAAATGATTTTTGAAATGGGCCATTGAAAGATGATTACATCTTGATTGTTTGCTCGATTTTTGATTTTTGATGAAAATTTCTTCTTTTTTTTCATTTTATCCAAGCGATTAATGATTCTCGTTATACATATCAAATATCGATTTCTGTTTCTGCTTTTTCTGTTTTCCTGATCGATTTTGTTGCTGGAAAATTTCTTATTATTATTATTTTTCTTTGATTTGATTGAATTTATCCCCAGAACAACAGCAGAAAGAATTGATTTATTCACATCTGGTATGGTCGACACAAACATAATTGGTCGTTTTTAATAATGAAAAAAAAATTTTTCCGTTTTGTTCAAAATTCAATCCAAAATCGATACAGAGAAATGGCAAAAAATGAATCATTGTTTATGGTTTGATCCAAATTGGATCCAATTTTATTTTCTGGTAGTGAAAATTTCTTTCTTTCTTTGTTTTTTTGATTGATGATGAATGATATTTGACCATTTGAAAGAAAAAACAAAGCAAAAAAGTAAATAAAACTTTGATTTCGATTTTCATTTCGATTTTGTGGTGTTTCAGAATTTGCAAATGTAATGATGATGATGATGATGTGATTGATTGATTGATTGGATTCGATTCTAAATCGATTTGGTTTGAATTGAATGTGGATGTGGATTTTCTTTTATTGAAATAATAATAGAATTGCGAAAAATCTTCTGGCTGGTTCTGGTTTTCGGTTTTTTTTTGTCATTTTCTCGACCATTTTTCAAAGAAGAATGTGAAACTGGCTAAGAACCGATTTACCAATGATGATCAATCGCCATTCACGGGCAGATTTTCTCCACAAAAAAAGAAAAACAATTCTTTCAAGTTTCGTAAACATTGCTGGGCGTAATTGAAAATTTGAAATTGAAAATTTGAAATTGAAAATTTTCAAAAAAACAAAAAAAAAACAAAATGTTTTTCTTTCTTTTCCTCGTGAAAAGCGAAATTGATTCCCATTCAAACAAAAGAAAAACACACATGGTTGATGACAGGTTAATTTATTTTCACTTCACAATGAACAAACGGTTCATTCATTCGACTTGTCATTGACATTCGTTGTATATCGAAAAAAGCAAAGAAAATAAATACTTATCATCATCATCATCATCAAACAACCGAAGCGAAAAAAAGAAAATAAAAAAAGTTTTTAAATTTAAAATTAAGATTCCTTTTCCTTTTTCTATTTCAGCAAAGCCAATCTTCATCAACAAGAAATTGAAAAAAAAATCTGCTGATTGTTTGTTTGTTTATTTCATTTTGAAAGTTTGATTCTTACTTGATTCTTACGAAAAACTTTCTCTCACTTGATTCTTGATTCTTGATTCTTGATTCAAAGATTGATTTTAAGAGAAAATTTCTTCGACTACCATTGAATCAATGTTTGTCGAATAAAAAAAAAGCAATCATTGATAAACTCTTTTCATTTTCTTTCTTTCTGGTTACATAATAATTACCACTATTCTCTTTTTCTTCTTTCAAATATTATTAAGTAGAAATTTTATCGTTGCAATCATCATCATCATCTTATCATTCCAAGAATTTACAACCGGTTCATTTTCTCATTTTGTTCTTAATACTTTTTTTTTGGGGGAAATCACACACAAACACTTTGCTTTACTTCAGTCTTTTTTTTTCCTTTTTGGTTTACTTTCGGTCGAATGAACATTTCACATTTCTAGCTTCACACAGAATCTCAAAATTATCAACTTTTGATTAAGTTTCTTTTGAAAAAGAAAAAATTTTCATTTCCCAATTCTAATTACGATTTTTTCACCAATTCCAAACTCCAATTCAACAGCAGTGCAAAAAAAAGTTTAGATATTTTTCCAATGTAAACAACCAATCCAGAATTCAGAATCCAGAATTCATTCATTTCGAAACTTTCATTTAGATTTTTAACACTTAATAATAATAATAATAATAATAATTCTGCGAATGGAAACAGAAAATTATCAAGTATAACATTTACAATTTGTAAATTGTTCTTTCCAGTTTTTAACCATTTGTTTCATTTTGGTTGCTAGAAATGAAAATATTTCCCCAGCAAACAAATTGCAAAAAACGAAACGACCGACCAGAATTTGTGATTGTGCGAACACAATTTTTCTTCATTTAAACCTTTCACCAATTCATTTCATTTGATTTTTCATTGTTTTTTGAATAATTTAAACAATACACTGAAAAAATGAAATCATCATCATCATTATTCGCTTTTTCGATGACTTTTTTGTTAACGTCGATGCCTTTTTTCTCTGTGAACAGTTTTGGAAAAAGTAACAAGAAACGAAAATTTCCAACAAATTACAAATTGATCAAATTTTTTTTTTCTCTACTAACTAAATGTCGCCATTCATATTGATTATCATTTTTGTTTTCAAAATGGTAACAAAAAAAAGTAAAAAAAAATTCATTGATCAAATCAAATGCTCATTATAAATCAGTTTCTCTATTGCTTTCTCTCTCTCTATTTTCAAACTATTTTTATAATTTATTTCATTTATTCATTCATTCATTCATTTCATTCATGGAAAGTTTCCGAAAAACACATCTCTCTAACATTCAGGAAATTGTAATACGATATACACACACATACACATACAGTTGTGAGTGAATAAAGTGGGAAAAAAATGAAAAATGAGTCCCAAAATACAATTTCAAATGATGATAATAATAATGGTTATTATGTAATATAATGAATGAAATTGCAATTATGATCATTGTGTGTGTGTGTGTGTGTGAATGAGTGGCAATGAAATAAAAAACAACATTTTACCGATTT